CGGGTCGCCTGAGGACCTGATCGATGAGGGTGGGAGGCTAGTCAATGCTTAAGGGAGTATGTGCGAGGCATTAGCAAAGATACGAATAAAGAAGGTTCGGGTGATCTTTGCTCTGGAAATTCTTGCTAAGCGATCTAAAACCCTTCATCAAGTAGCGGCTCGATCCCCAGGGAAGTTGAAGCAAAACCAGGTCGAGTTTGGCGGCCGAAAGGAGTGGGTGTCTAAGGTGAAAGGGAAAGACGCCAAATCGGGTTCAACGCTTTTGACCTTTAGTAAGTGTAGGAATGGGGCGAGACAAGAGCATCTAATCAGTGAAGAAGCGTAGTCTCCCAGGACACGAGTGAGAATGAGAGATGTCGAAGATATCGGAGGGCTTAAAGGGGACCTTGTTCCGCCATTCGAGGACTGTCCAGTGGACGTAGATGACGGGTTGTTGTGAGTTGGCGGCTGTACATACGATCTCTCAATCAAAGACTCGAGGTGCGAAATGGGAGATATGTTTGTAAAATCTGCCGTGTTAAAGTCTAAGGTATCCGAAGGATACGGCGAGAGTGGGAAACTCCAAGTCGGAAGGTCATGAATGGGGGATTGGCTACCCCCGGAAGGATGGGCTTGGAGGGCCTGGATCTGGACACCTAAGGGTTCCTTCACGTGCTCGGCGCAAGACCAAGCTTGGGCAGCTGGTTGTGTGCTGTAAAGGCACTTTGTTCCCCTCTTAATGCAGCGAGAGCAGGTAGGATGGGTGTAGCAGCACTTAGACTTGGCCCGAACACATGCATCACAGGCTTTCCGACAAGTCCCACCTTTGGCCAGACCCCGGCAGCGCCTCCGATGGCGCATAAGCAAGTCACCTACATCAAGAGAGTGAGCCACGGAGAGATATGGTGATACAGCAGCAGATAACATAAAGTAACGGCCAAGGCGGACATGCGGAGACTTACGCCGCTGATAAGACTTGGAGCACAACTCGCACACCAGCTGCTCGGAGCCCGTACTGACGACAGTCAACTCCATGGCCACCAGTATCAATGGGGTCAGTTCTGCCAGGGGCGCGGAGTACCTGGACGGTCAGGAAAAGCACAAAGGTAGTGGCGTATGTGTTGTAGGGAGTCGCGGAGGGATCAGGTAGTAAAGCATCTCAGTGAAATACAACTGGTGCGTCGTCGTCGACGTGCGGCGGCGAGGCCACGTGATAACAACAGATCTCCGACGATCTCACGCCATCCGGAGCCGAATGGTCTAGCGTTCAGACCTAGGGCGCTGACCCGTCCAGTATATCCGGAGATCGACAGTCATTCTCCATAATCCTTCTTCTTCCTCAAGAGCAAAAGGCAACATAATAGGCAGGATTAATTAGATAATTAATTAGTAAATATATCCTGGAGATTTCCGAGCTCCCAGTTATAAGTCCGGAACTCAGAGCCCCTGACTCTGGGTTCAGGGCTCTGTGATCTTCTTGCATATATGTGATATAAAGCATCATGTTTTCCCCGTCCCCGTAAAGCGGTGCAGTCATTACAACCACCTCCAACACCCCTAATTCGCCATGACTTCATCTACAGAGGAGAAGAGCAACTCTAAACTTCCATCCAACCCATCATCATCGTCGCAAGGTAAGTAACCCTCGGGAGGGCGGCTCTAAGACAATATAAACAAAACCTGCTCTCTAGAGCCGTTTCGCACTGTTGCTGATTTAGAAAACATTAGATGCCGAGGCCGCGCAGCTCTCGAAGAAAGAGGATGCCTATCCCGCCGATGCCTTCTCATTACCACGCCGGATTCTGTTCATCGCGAGTGTATGCATGTCCATGTTCATCAACCAACTTGGTTTATGCAACACCCTGACCACGCTGTCCATAATCGGAGATTCCTTTAGAATCAGCAACCCAGGCACGTTATCATGGTTTATAGCTGGGTACAGCTTGACGATTGGCACGTTCATCCTCATAGGTGGACGCCTTGGCGATGAGTTTGGCAACAAAAAGATGTTTGTCATGGGCATAAGCTGGCTTTCTCTGTAGAGCATGGTGGCAGGACTCTCCGTCTACTCTAACCATATGCTTTACGTCTTTGCTCGCGTCTTCCAGGGCATGGGTCCCGCCTTAACGCTGCCCAACGCACTCGGCATTTTTAGCAAGTCTTTCTCCGAGGGACTTCAAAACATGGCATTCGCATGGTTCGCCGCGTCGGCGCCCTTTAGCGCCATGGCCTTTGTGTTTGGCCCCCTCTTTACTATGGCATAGTGGCCGTGGATATACTAGAGCCAGGCAATTGCTATTGCGTTAGTGGCCGCCTTTGCTGCCTGGACTATTCCAGGCCTGTCTTTGCAGGAGGAGGAGCGGAACCTAACAATGTCTCAAAAGCTAGATCGTCTAGATCTTTCTAAAGGGGCAACCGGCGTGATGGCTCTCGTCTTATTCAACTTTGCGTGGAATTAAGCTGTGGTTATTACTTAGAGGGAGCCCTACGTGTATATGTGCCTGATCCTCAGCTTCATCTTTAGCGCTTTATTCTTCTACATCGAAATACGCCAAGCACGCCATCCAATCTTGCCCATTTCTGCATTCACTGTGGACATAACCTTCATTTTCGCATGCACAGCAGCTGGCTGGGCCACGTTTAGCATATGGGTTCGTATTGCTCTACTCTCTACTAAAGGGGATATTAACTAACTCTGCTGTGTACAGCTCCTCTACGTTGTGCAAGTATGCCTCAATATAGGCGAGCAAACTCCCATTCAACTAGCCGCATGGTTTACTCCTATCCTCATCACCGGAGTAGCTTCAGCTTTAACTGTCGGCAAAATAATCAACAGGGTTCCTGCTGTATATATTATGGCAGTTAGACAGGTCGCATTCCTGGTCACATCCATTCTTCAAGCCCTTCGCCCCCCAGACTCGATTTATTAGACTTATTTCTTCTTTACTACCATCATTGCCACCATCAGAATGGACACATCATTACCCGCCGCCATCATGATCTTCTCAAGCACAGTGGCCCGGGAATACCAAGGCATGGGAACCAGTATAGTCATGACTCTCGTCAACTACAGCATATCACTCAGGCTCGGCTTTGCTAGTACCATCGAAACGAACATTAATAATGACAGACAAACCAAAGCAGACTTACTTCATGGTTATCAAGGTGCTTTATGGTTCTCTGTCGGCCTGACCGGACTCAGAACTGTTCTCAGTCTCATTTACTTATTCAAAACCCAGTTCAGACCGAAGTCAGATGGTGACCATTAGAGCAGGAGCTTCCATAGCGGCATGAATTTGCCTATAACATACTGGCGCGGCCATTGTGTGGAGTTTATAGAACCCTAATAAATATAAGACAATTAACCATACACATTCTCAGACTTTGTTCTGTCAACCCTCCATTTGCAATCTCTCGGAAGCCACATCCTCTTAAGTGAGAAGCCTTCAGTTCTAGCCCATGCAAGAGTTCTTTTCTAGAAAAAAAACCCCTTCCACTAGCATCTCTCTGGCAGGCTTCCAATCCCAGGGTGTACTTTATCTAGAAGTCCCTTTTAACGCCTCTGCACAAACACAATCTTACTACCTCAGAGTTTACTAGGAATAAGTTTACTGGGAATAAGTTTAATGTGGAGTAGCTATAGGCTATTAAGAATAGGTAGGTACCTATAATACATGCAAACGTTGTTAAGAAAGGGTGATATATTACACTAGAAGTCTGTAGGCCTGCTTCCACTAGAGCAATGAACTGACCTCTAGAACGGGTGGTAAAAGTTCAAAGAAAGACCCCCGCTCTCAGCAGGTCTTAGCTTACCACGTGAACTCCAAGACAGGGAAAAAAAATACAGCAAGCTCACAACATCTCTCTCCAGGCACAACAACACGACTTGCAAGCCATCACAACAAATGCAAAAGGCAAAAAAGCAAAAACATACAACAGCCGGTGTTCGCTGGTGGTCACCCACCCAACTACTAATCTGCCGGTTAGTGGCTTATCTATGGGGGAGCAGACGGGACCCCGAGTTTTCCACTACCTATGGTCGTATGTGCTTGGTTTCCATCACAATCAACTTATATCCACTCCTACTCTAGTGCAGGAACTTTGTCAACTTCGGATCAAACGCACCAATGGTGACGAGATGTATTATTCCCTGATGTACGGAGTACCTGACCTACCGATGCTTTCATTGACAACTGTCTTGAATCCGCATGAATCGAACATGCCGTACTCTTGTTCTCAAAGCCGTACTCTCATTATTCCAAACTGTAGAATCGTCCTCGGCTGCTATCAAAGAAGCGTCCCTCAAGTATGATAAGTGGCTATGTATTCTTCATCTACGCTCTTCAAGGCATCCAAGTAAATCCTTTATCTTAGTGATGTCACAAACATGCACACTCACGCAACAGACCCGCAGACATTGTCTATGGCTTCTTGTATTTTTTACTTTTTAAGAATCCGTGACTATGCGAGAGGGCACTTTGGCATCCTCAGGCAGCGCATAAACTACATGTAACTAAGACACTGATAGATTCTTTCCCCCCAATCATGACCCATGATGCATTTCATTTTCTCGGTTCGTTAACACCCTGTACCTCCACTCGCTTACAGCTTCTGCATGGCAACGATATCGGAGGACTGGACGTAGTCCTCGAACTCCTGGATCTGCTCCTGGAGCTCGTCCAGGGAGACCTTCTCGTCCTCAACAACCAGGTTGATCTGCAGCTTCTTGATACCGAAGCCGACGGGGACCAGCTTGGAGGCACCCCACAGCAGACCATCCTTCTCAATGCCACGGACGGCAGCCTCCATGGCGACCAGGTCGGTCTCGTCGTCTAGAGTTGAACGGTTAGTATCAAACACGAAAGCAAGTCGCCCGAGAAACTGCGCCAAAAGCGACAGTATCGGCAGAGGGGGACAGGAAGAAACTCACCCCAAGGCTTCACGTCCATAGTGACGACAGACTTGGCGGCAACCTTGGGCTTGGCAGCCTTCTTCTCGCGGTAGGCAGCCAGACGCTCCTCACGGATGCGGACAGCCTCGGCATCCTCCTCCTCGTCGTCAGAGCCGAACAGGTCGACATCATCGTCGTCGGCAGCGGCCGCGGGGGCCTTGGCGGGGTTCACGGTGAGTTCGGACTCCTCAGGGCCGTAGACGGTGTAGGGCTTGCTGGCGTCGCCCTCGAGGGTGGCGAACTCATCCTCGTACGTGGCGATGTGCTTGTACCAGCGGGCGGCAGAGGGGTACTTCTCGGCGTTGGGAGCCTCCTTGAGGGCCTTGAAGACGGCGACGTCGGCCTGGCTGGCGTTGTAGCTGTATATGGCGGGGGAGGGGTCAGTGAGGGGTGTCTTTCTCGTTGATTTGTTTTTTTTTTTTTTCCTTTGGGCTGTCATGCAGGGCACTGAGGGGTGAAAATTATGAAAGAGGGGCTGGGCTGCATGCAAATCATCGACTGATTGTGCCGCGGCGAGGGAAGAGAAGGGGAAAATTGTAACATGTGCGAGAGCAGGATCGAGATTCAAGGACGGGGAAGTGCATCGTCGTCGCGGCGCAGAGGGAAAAGAGCGCATACCCAGTGATGTAGGAGCGGGTGGAAACCCAGTTGTTCAGGACTGTCAAGCCTCATCGTCAGTCGACCAGTCCTTCTCTGTCCAGCAGCACAAAGGCGAGGAATTTACTCACGGGTGAGGCCAGCATCGGAGAGGAGATCGGTGAAACCCATGGCTGCGGTTTTGTGTGTGATATCGAGGGCGGGAAAAGGGAGGATAGAGAGGGCGATTTGGTGGTTGAGAGCTGGAGAGAAGTTGGGTATCTACTGAAGCAGAGGAGTCACAGGAAAAAAAAAGATTGCACCAGATGGAACTGCGCAGTATTGATGCACGGCAGCCCCCCACCACTGCGGGAGCCCTAGCAGAGGGGGATGCGGCCTGAGGCATCAAGAACCAGCGCTTCACCCCGCCTTGCGACGAAAAAATTGTCGAGACGTGGCGCACGTGGGCGATCGACGCTGGCCAGCCACGTGCTGCGCCACAGATGCCCCGCGATGGAACCCCTCTGTTTGATGGCTTTCTCTATCATCAGATGATATCTTCGACTGCTACTATTCATCCTGATATCATCATACATAAGGTACATCTCTTTAGTGCTCGCAGAAATTATAGGATACACTCTGAACCGTCTGCTCCGCCTTGGCCTCGTACCGCGACCGCTCCTGCATCAGCCTCAGCCGGTGCTCGCGCGCCTCCTCCACCGTCATGAGGCTCTCCGGGACCTCTTCCTTGATACCATCCTCCCTCTTCATATCCGGCAACGACTCGGTCCACCAGTCCTTCTGTTGCGGCGGCACATTAGCCGTAGACACGATGCGCTCATGCGGATCAACCAGCCACAGCGCCAGGAATCTCCTGTGCCCCGGCTTGGTGGCGTCTTTGAGTCTGAACGACGAGACTCGATGTTGACTAACACATAGGACGATGATGAGTGTTTTGATCAGTAGCATGTGTGAGAGGCAACTTACAAGACGTTGGGGAAAGCAAGCAGCCGTCCCGGACACGTTCGCACATCGCCGTAATTCTGCAAACAAGGCGATCCATGTCCAAGAGTCGTGCCATAGACACGCTCCAGATAGTTGTACTGGTCTTGACCCGTGCTAATCTCGTCCTGAAGCCAGCTGTTTGTCTGCATGCGGAACGACAGATGGCTGTCCGTGACGTTCTCACTATCGAGATAGAACAGCGCCGTGGCACATATCCTCTCATTCATCTGCCCCTCAACCTAGAACACGGTCAGTCTCTTGACCATGCAGCAGTACTCCACAAGGAACAATGGCAGCTTACATGCCACGAGCCAGCCGGAAAGTAAGGCTTCTCCGGCGTCAGCTCGATGCTGGCTATCTTGACAATGACCTGCAGCCCGTGCTCCTTGAACTTTTCGCGCAGCCTCTGTGGAGGAGTGTAGTCAATCTCCTCAAAGGCATTCGGCTCTGGGAGAATGGGTTCGCGGCCTTCAACCCATTCGCCGGGGAGAATGGGTTCGCCCATGCTTGGCTTGATCGTGTCGGGATCTACGTACATGTACCGATTGTACTCGTGGTCCTCTGGCATTTGATACACCTTCGTCACCGTCCACAGATTATCGTCTTCGTCGCTGTACCATGCGGTTAACATCATCTCCGTCCTTCAATCTAAGCAAGGCATCATCGTGGGATACGAACCTGGCCTCCGTAATCAAGTCGAAGCGCGAATCCTCTCTTCCGGCGGTAATGTTTTCTCTATATCCCAGATTCTCTCGAAGGCACTGATCCCACGCCGGAATGGCTGCATCGATAGCATGTTCAATTGCCTCATAAATAGCTGGATACTTTCTCGGGTGCAGATTGTTGACATAGCTGGTCAACTTGGCTGTCCCGTCCTCTCGAAATGCGACATTGGTTGGCAACCACTGGTACAAGCTCGAGCGATATTCAGTTGGAACGATGCCTCGGCTGCCCGTCATCCAGGCTACGTTGAGAAATCTATTTCCGTAATCTGGAAAGCGGGTGATTTCAGGCACAATGCTCCCTTTACCGACGGAGGCAAAGGCGTTTTCTCTGTCGACCTCTTCTTCGTAGATGAAGCTAGATCGCCCTTTTTCGATGCATCGAGGGTCAGGTCGAGTTCCAACGAGCAGCAGGAGTGAAGATGCACGTACCAAAGACGAACGGATACATGGACGGGTGAACCAGGTTCTGCACCATGTCATTGGTCCCAGGGTGCCAGTCCACGTTCGCAGCCTGGTCCGCTCGGAGCGTCTCAAACGATTTTCTCAGCTCATCCCAGAGTTGAGCACTGACAACAGTATCAGACTTGACAATCGTGTTCCCCGCCGAGTCAAGAGTAGGAATCAGCCCCATCTTGACAAAGTACGCAGCCTTGTTGCGCAACTCAGCAATACACTATACATCCCATCAGTCCATCATCTCGTTCACAAAAGGGGGGTGAAATCAACGAACAAACTCAAAAGCCTCATCAGAGATAATCCTGACTTGCGGCATGGGAATCTCATTCCTATACACATGCTTCCCCTCGATGATCCGCGTGAAGAGGCTATTTTCTGACTGCGTCCTCGCCTCCTGCCGCCACTTCTGCACAATGGCCTCGTCAAACACCTTTTCGTGCCAATTCGGCTTGTCCGTCAACTTCTCCATGAGCAGCATCATGGCTACCTCTCGGATGGGCAAGATGGCGGAGCTGGATCCTCGCGCCTGGGGCATGCCAATGGGGTAGATGTGTTTTTCCTTGGAATTGAACCCCATCGACGTGTCCACCGGCATGTTGATGCCGGGATACTGAAAGCCGGGCATGTCGTCTTTCTTGGACTGGAAGATTGTCAATGGGTTGGATAGGAAGCCGACGACCTTGTTGAGGGTTGATGTGCTCGGGGGTGAATAGATATCGGCAGCCTTCCTAGAGTTTGGTTCACTCACGGGAGGGAGGTCAAGTAGAGAGGCCTTTTTAACCTCTTCGTCTACCGGTATCTCTGCGCCATCGAGTCTTCTCTTGGGCATCTTGAGCGGGTCGTTTTAGGCAGTACTGGAGTCTTGGACAGGTTTTCGAGCTGGATTGCCAGAAACAACAAGCCAGTGAACATAGCTGAAGCTCGTGTTAAATACTTACAGGCTGGAATCGTACTTGTTCGATCCGGATAGTGCCGTTTGCCGTAAAAGGTATTAGGAAGTGGAGTCTGCTCAGGAACGCCAGGCAGCAGGTCCCCGGTTGTACGATTCATGAGGCCCTAGAGCCTTTCCTTTCATCATTTTCCACGCGCTACAACGCGACAGGAAGTTAATGCTCTTTCGGCAGTGGCCGAGCGCAGTTCTGCCTGATCTAATTGTTCTTCAGCCAAGTCAAGCGGATACAGATCTCGCATCTGCAAGTGGCCAATGGGCCCTTGCAGTTTCTAAGCTAGGCCTCAGCCGATAACTCAGGGGTACATCCTCTGAAGCAACAATTGCTGGACTAGGTAGAGACCTTGAAGATTGAATTCGAGCGCTTCCGCTACTCTAGCGGTTGATGACGGCACGTAGTATGGCATGTTAGAGCGAAATCAACAACAAGCGTTGCTTTGCATCTCAGATTCATGTTCACGTTTTGATAACACCAACTGAGTCTGCCTCGATATCCGTTTAGAGCTGAATATGTATTCTGTCTGGGTCCTGTTGATAAGTTGTTGATGCGCATGCCTTACAGTCCATCAGCTGGCCAAAAAGCTTGCTTGCATGTCAATTGACCACATCTTACAAGTCAAATATCCAATTCAACAAAAAGCTATTTATGATCTTTGGCTTCTTTTCCCCTTTCTTCCTCTCGTACAGCCTGAATGAAGTTGCAGCGCGTTCTCAATTCTTGGTGATTGCATTGTTCGTAACAGGGTAACCCAGCCCTCCATACGCTACCAAATCGCGCTACAGTCTGACGGCTCACAAGCCAAAGACTGGAAGACACAGCATATCAATTGTCATTGCAATTAACATAAGAGGGCAAAAATTGTAATATTTGATTTAACGAGACAAGAAGAGAAGAAAAGGCCAAAATTCCAGAGGCGAGCAAAATGCATAAGAGGAGCAATTGCACAAAAGCAAAAAAAGATGAGAAAGAACAACCCGACAGAGACAGGATTCGAACCTGCGAGGCCGAAACCATATGATTTCTAGTCATACCCATTAACCACTCTGGCACTCTGCCTATGGCTGGGTTGTTATACCAAACACTCACGCCAAGCAATTTATAAACCTCACAAGCACACGCGAAGGATCATTCACAAGTCGCGGCAACCAAGTACCTTATAATTGCCTGAGATTGGAACGCCCACAAGCCTCTCCTTGCAGACAGGTGATTTGGCCGGGTGTGTTTCGATTGAACTATTCCTGTCATCATGCTCTAGAGGTCGTTCTGTGTCAGATGCTGTCGCAAGTCGTCTTGTCCATGCTGTTATAGAAACATTGTCTGAACCCACAGTCAACCAGTATCGATCCATTAGTTTTTCACAAGTTGAGGAAGTAAGCCATGCCCAACTTTAGTTCCCCCTCTATCTCATGTGAAAACATACTCCTACCGCCAAACAGAAAGGTACAACGCCGCAATATACCATCCAGATTCCAGACCCAAGGCCCATCACCCAGTCCCGCTTCCCTAGCAAACATTGTCCTCCCCGTACCATATCGACCACCTCAATCACCTGGAAGTCCCCTCACACGCAACAAACTCATTCCCATTCGCACCAGTATGAGTAATAACACCAGCAATCTCACACTGGCCGTCAATCACAACACGATCCGGTCCAGGACGCCCTACATCACCACAAATCACCGTCAGTCCCCTCCGCCACCCAAAGAACCCCCTCAAAGCATAAAAAGCTGCCAGCTTCTTCTCTTACCGCCAGCGTAAGTCTTCCCCGAAGATAAAATGGGAAACTCATAAAACGGCTCCTCAAGCCCATTGAAGCGAAACCCCTCAAAGTTCCTATACCGGTGCGGATACGTCGAGCCGCCCGCCGTCTCCCCCGTCTGCACATACGAGCACGCAGCGGCAGACGCCTTGTCAACAGCCGCAGGAGAGTAGTGCGCCGTACCACAGGTAGCTTCTTCGTCTCTCTTTGTGATCTCGGCCAGGGGCGCAGCGCTGGAAAAGGCGATGAGGGAGAAGAGACTGAGGAGCTTCATCTTGAACTGGCGACGGCAGCGGACGAGTAGGCTGATGCTTGGCGTAAAGGGTAAATTCGAAGGGATACCGGGAGTTCGTCACACTCTCAGTTGGAAAGCTGGGAGCAATGTGTGTTTATACTACACCCGCGGCCGTGCTCCCTTGCATCGAATGTCTCATACTATCTCGGGCTGTGTCACACCCAGACCTTGTCACTTGACAAGTGCGAATCTGCCATTCTGCCGTAATGTGATGTATGTAGCACCACCAAAGCCAAATTCACAACCTGGCGAGCACACGAAACAAGGGTTTGCCCACCGGTAACACAAACAATCTGCCTCAAAGGCCAAGAGCTTACACGAGGCGTATGCCTGTAAAGAGGAAGCAAATGGAAATTCATGGAGCACAAAACACTCGCGATAGAGGAAAGAATGTATGTAGATGGCCTCCCGTGTACGTACAAGTTCTACAGCGGGCAGTTCCATACTTCTATCAACACAACACTCTATGAGTCTTAACCTTTAGACATCCATATCCCAAAGACTAAGATAACCGCACGATCAATGATCCAGATTGTTTGCCCCAATGGGACTGCCAGCTCAAAGCTTTACTATCTTGCACCAACCTTATACTTCCTAATGCAGCCTTAGCCAATCCGCGAATCAAACGTCCAAGAACGTGCCTCCGTCTCCTGAAGCGGCTATAGGGAGAGCCGGAACTGGCTGACGAAAACCATTGGCGCATATGCTGAGATCTCGCAGTTTCGTCTATTCCACTCCATTTGTACCCGGCTTCACCGTTTATCAATCGTTTTCATCCTACCTACAGCCACAAATACGTACAACAATGGCGGCAGGAAAGCATAACACCAAAGCCGCATCTATCAATCATGCCCAACTCAATCTCGTCCATTACTCCAATACAGACAAGACACCAAACCACGAATGAACAAACAAGAAGTATCTTCAATTGATAACTACTGCCTATATGCCCTCAAAAGAAGAACAAAAAAGCAAACCAGCAGGACAAACAAAGCAAAAGCAAAAGAAAAGAGGGCCAAACCGTGGATTGAACACGGGACCTCTTGCAGTTGAGCACATCAACGCAACCCAAAGCAAGAATCATACCACTAGACCATTTGGCCTCTAGATCATTCATGACTAATAGTCGCATTTTACCTCTTATAAGCTCCCCTCCACCAGAACCCCCATCCTGCGCCAAGTTTCTATCGTCCCATGTACCCACAGGGTTGCAACCCCACAACCCCCCACGTCCCTCCACTCTGCACACGAGAAGAATTAGAAAAACAGAGAGCAAAAAAGGAAGGGCTTGATTGTCGGGAAAGGATGCAAAAAAAAAGCCTGGAGACACGGGGATTTGAACCCCGGGCCTTCTGCAAATTGCCGTCGTTCGAAAGAAGCTCGAAACAATGCAAAGCAGACGTGATACCCCTACACCATATCCCCTAGGTTGGAATGGCGGCTTCATATACATCATTATAAAGGATCCATGCTCATCTCAAACACACAAAAAGCCCAAGCTACCGAGGCATGAAAGATGAAGTGAGAAGGAGATGGAAGCATTATTATTGCTTTGTTGTGAGCGCTCCACAGACTGGACAAGAATAGGGCCCTGTTTCACCAATTGCCCATGTGTTTGGCCATATGAAATGAAAGACTCTGTTTGGCTAATTCACTCATGGAACTGTCTAAACGATAAGCATTCAAGTCGGGTCCGACTTCAGCTCTTCGATATTCTTCACAAATCTACTCCGTAGAATGATCCGAGTCTCATCCCATCTGCAGGGATGCCCTATGAGCCCAACACGAGACGTGGGGAAACGACAACACATAAGGTGAGACACCACATGTCAACTCCCTGCAACTTCAGACCTCGCAGTCAACTCATACATTCCCTCATTAAGCACCATTAAACATTCAAGATCCCTCAATCATGGCATGCCAAAGCCCCAATCCAAACATTTCCAGTATTAGTCTTCATATCTACATGACGCAAAAGAAAAAAGCAACTTATTACAACGTGGCTCTAGTGTTATGTACCCGTACAGACATATATATACGTGCAGCATCTCAATCATGCTCAATATACGAAAACTCTCAAAATGCTACCAGCATGTAGCCGAGGGCAGCAACAGTAAACAAAACCGTGCCTGTCAAGGCCTGGGCGCTCGAGGACGCCGCAGAGTCCTCGTCGCTTGAATTCTCGCTCGTGTCGGGCGAGGGTTTGGTGACAGCGTTGGGAGTGGGAGTGGGAGACGAGGTTTCCTCCCTAAAGATGGGCTTTGTAGTTGATGGTGAGTCGCCGTCGGTGGTCGCCGTCGATGTACCAGTCTCTTCGGCTGCCGTAGAGATTGAAGTAGGTGTTGGTCGGAACTTTGAGTCGAGGGTAAACTGGTCCAGGATGCACTCGTTCATGAGCTTGTTGTCGGAATAGTTGCCAGGCTTGCCAAGGGGCGTCAGGGTCAAGATGTAAGAGGTGTCAAAGCTGCCGGCGCCCCAGCCGACGAAGCCAATGTAGACGTCGCTATTGTCGCTGATGGCCTTGTTCTGCTCGCAGAACGCAGTCATGCACTGCAATGGTCAGTTGTTGTCAGCAAGCTGATGAGTGAGTGGATCATCATCTTACCGAAGGATCCATGGACGCGCCCGTCTCCGAGATGATGGCCTGGCGCTTGTTCTGCCTCAGCCAGTCCGCAAAGTCGTTGAACGCGTCAACATTATTCGTCGTACACTCGACATGCGATCCGGAGTTGTTAATGTCGAGATACTTGTGGACGTCAAAGTACAGCAGGTCGGTGCTTCCGTCAGGGTTCGTAATCTTGGCGAGGGCGTCCGCGCTCCCGGTGGACACATACGTCTCGACGCTGGCAAAGTTGGTTCCGGGCAGGAGGATCATCTGCGAGGTGGCGCCGGCCTTTCGGATCGCAGTGACGACCTTTTGGCACGTCTGCGCCCAGAGGTCAATGTCGAGGTCGTGGGGCTCGTTCATCAGGCCAAAGATGATCTTGTCGTTGTCCACGTAGTACTTTGCAATCTGGACCCAGAGGTCGACAAAGATGTCGTCCGACACGCCTCCCTGGCCGATGATGCCGCCGTTGTACCGGGCAAAGTTGTGCATGTCAATCATGCAGTAGGCGCCCGTCTCCAGACAGGCATCGACGACCTTGTTGTAGGAACCCCAGTTGAGCTTGTCCAGCTTGCCGTCCACCGTGTTGTTGAGGACAAACTGCCATGTAGCGGCTGCAGTCGGACATTAGTACCCAGACATACATGTAGTCACACGGTCCCAGCCCTCACTCACAGATGCGAAAGACGTTGAGACCGTCGTCCTCGGCGAAATGCTTCATCTGGCCGGCGCCATCGCCTCCCTTGTAGCTCAGCAGCGGCACAGACGCCGTGTCGGTCGGACAGCTGCCGTCAATGTCACAGCCAAAGTCAATTCCGGGAATGGCCACGCCCAGATATTTCATCTTGCCGGCGAGGGCATCACCGGCGAGGGCCAGGGCGGCGGCCAGGAGAGCAGTTGCGCGCATTATTAGAGAGGAGAAACGAGGAGTGTCGCACAAGCACCAGGAAGAAGCCGAGGGCGATCCGATTAACGAGAATGGGCGTAATGGAATTTCGACGTAATTAGCGAGGGAAATGCTGGCCGTATTATTACCACTACCTAGATGGTCGAAAAGATGGCAGAAGATTGCAGAACAAGAAGACAAGGGAAGAGAAAAGAAACGGCAAGCAAAGGCCAACGAGCAGAGCCGACGACAGCCAGAATAACAAAAACGAGTGTGTTAACGCTGCGTCATGGCTCGCAGAGAGAGCGGCAGTGAGGAGAGCGAGGGCAAAGGAGATGGAGGAGGAGGAGGAGGAGGAGGAGGAGGAGGAGTAAGAGAAAAGAGAGGATGGAGGCTGATTCACGAGATGGGAGGAGGCGGATCGACCATTCATCCATAGTACTAGTAAGACGGGGGATCCAAGGGTCTCCCCTAAACTGGGAGAAGCGCCTCAATGCTCGGCTCCAGTGCAGTCGGGTGCGTCTACAGCGCTCGAGGCCGGCGCTGCAGCGGGCAAGGCGCCTGTATTCCGGGGGATCATGGGTGCATCTGCTGGGTGGCTGTGAGGCTCGGGTCGGCATTAGCGGCTGCGGCAGCCTGTCGATGCTCGTGTCGGCGGCCTGTTTGGGCATAGCGGGCGAGCGCGGATTCGTATTCTGGTCAGACGTCGACGGATGTGAAGGGCCGAAAAGAGCGAGCGTCCGTTTTGTTTACGAGATGTTATAAAGTCAATACGAAGGATGCTGTATTAGACGTGAATTGCTACCGAGTCGTTGGATGCAAAGGGCGTCACGTCATATTGCACGGGGGAGTGACTGACAGACAGCACAGTGGACTTTGTCTCATGCTATTTGATGCCATCACGGAATCGACATCGAGACGTCAAATGGGATTTGCAGGGTCTTGATGCGCTACTACGACGCCCAGCCCCATCACGTCCGCAGTGGGACGGAACAGACGCCAATGGAAGCGGAATGCATTCCTGTTGACATTTTGGCGCAGGTCGAGACTTGGCATCGGATTCAATACGAGCAGCTATCATTCCCCTATTGCGTTGGGAAAACGGCGGTTTACAAGGTAATAGTAATATAAACACGCAGCTTCTTTTCTCCCCGGCTGGCCATTGTTCTCACCGAAGAGAAACATTTGACGACCTCGAACAATGAGGTGACCAAGGGGATCCGCGCAGTAGGCGGGGAATCTACATACGTAGTGCGTTATCGCAGCCCGCCTCGTATGAGACAAGACAGTTGACAGGGAACATGCCGCTGAAGAAGTGGAGTGGATTCGACCAGAATAGAAGCTGGAGACTGAACCCCGTCACCCCATTGTCTGTCTATTCATAGCACAGGGTTGGACATCCCAGATGCCTTTACTCGCTATGACTACACCATCAGACAACATCACCATGATTATTCACTTGACCAGCTCAGCATAAACCGCCCTCTCCAGCTCCGTATACAGCCGACACGCCACCGCATCTCCAAGCGGAAACACCGCCGTCATCAGCACCCCGGCAATGCCCGTCTCCGGGTCAATCCACTGCCAAAATCACAACTCAAGTCAGTCAAACCTCACATAGACACCACCAAGAGAAAAAAAAAAGAAGAGAAACATTGAAACTCACCCATCGCGAATTCCCCGCCCCCGTCCACGAAAGACTCCCCGCCCTCCTCTGCCCCTCCAATTCCCCCAACGCCAACAGCCCGCCAAACCCGTACTGCAGCGCGACGCCATCCGGAAACTCCGGTATAAACGCCCGCCGCCTGTCCGGCGCGTCGTACAGGAACTCCTGCAGCACGGCCCTCTGCCGCTCGTCCAGCTGCGGCGCAAACATTTCTCGCGCCGTCCTGCCCGAGAGTGGAAGACTCGGGGGGTTTTGCAGCTGCAGCTGCAGCATCGCCCGCAGCATCCGCGCGTAGTCGTGCGCCGTCGTGTGGATGCCCGCCCCGGCGCTGTCCAGCTCCGGCTCGACGGGCGCGACGTCAAACGCCGACAGGGAACCGGCATCGTCGTCGCGCAGCGTCACCTGGGCGCGCCGGCCCGCCGTGTGAGGCAGCCCGTTGACGCGGAAGCCCGTGTCCCTCATGCCCAGCGGGTCGAGCAGGTGCTGCTTCATGTACTCGCCCAGCCGCTGGCCCGTCACCGTCTCCAGGGCCACGCCGGCCCAGTCCATGGCCGGGCCGTACATCCAGCCGTCGCCGGGGCGCATCAACAGCGGCGTGTTGTAGCCGTCCTTGCTGAGGCGGATCGTTTTGCCCAGGGGCCTGCCGATGTACTCGGACCACCTTCGCAGGTTGGGGTCCGCGACGTCATATCGGAGACCGGCAGTGTGAAGCATCAGATGTCTGTAGACCGAGTATCAGCAGCAGTTCTTTCATAATGTGGGAAAACTGCAGACATGCTTGAGCGTAATGGGCCTCTCATTGTCCTCCAGTATAGGCTTGCCCTCGGACGTAAACCCCCTCAGGATCTGCATGTCGCGAACCTCGGGGACAATCTGCCGCACATCAGAGTCCAGCTGCATCTTGCCCTGCTCAACCAGCTGCATGAGACAGGTCGCGGCGAGGAGCTTGGTCAAGGAAGCCCCGTAGGTGAGGGTATCGCCATTGAAATCCGGCGAGTCTGCGGCGAAGTCAATGCGGCCAGCGGAGCCAGAATAGATGACGCCTATGGTGTTGAAATTGTGAGTGACATCCAGGGTCGTGCTGAGTTGGGCTGAGGAGAGGCTTGATGCTTACCGTCGCGATTCGTCACCACAAACGCAGCTCCGAGCAGCTTGTCCTTGCAAGCAGTGTCGTCTCTCTCAGCGACAGCTCCCCTCAGAAGCGCGTCGATTTTCTCCATCGTGAATCTCAACCCAGGGGTTGCGGCAAGCAACGATCAGCTGGAGAGTCCGCTGGCTGATGATGGCATGTCGTTGTTGTTGAGGCCATCTGATGGTGTAACTGCATGCGTCCCGTCTCGTTTCGCTTGGCAGGCTACGTGTCTTTAGGCCTGACAGAACGCGCATGAGCTTGGCCCGAGCCGAGAGCTGAGCTGCAATTGCCTTTCAATTAGTGATCAATGTGAAGGACTCATCAAGGCAGCGATTAGCGTCGCGCATGTCTGCGGCGTCTACGATGATCTGCCTCCAGTAGATGCATGTAAGACCGAGAGAAGACAAATCAGGCTTGAATATATACAACAATCTGCTACTGTGTATACCCGCATGAATCCAACCCAGTAATACCCATCTATTGTCTTCCTCCGTTGCCGTAGCGCATCAGCCGTTACCGAAAGCCGGCCTTACATGTATTCTGTGGGGTCTTTTTCTCTCCATCACGGCTCCATGTCTCCCGATCAAGACCGCGCTCCTCCATCTCTCACCCGGCCCGACTCAACCTTGAAAACCCTCCGTAGTCCCGGCCCCGTCAAACCTCACAACCGTCACCCCCCTCCCTCTCCATCCCCGGCTTCCACTCGGCCACATCCGAACTCACGCCATGGCCACGCCCGCCACCCGCCCCTCGTCCGGGCTCCTGGATCTCATCACCGTCTTTGACAAGTAAGCACCTCACCATGACAATCCCCATGAGATACGCGTCCACCCAAGCTAAAACTCTGCCCCAGCCTCCCCCTCGACTTTGAGCAAAACTGCCACCCCTACTACCGCCTCCTCCTGTCCCCAGACACCCGCACCCACGGCTACATCCACCCCGACACCCTCGCCCGCATGCCATGGCCCTCCTCCTTCACCATCCACCACCACCCCCAGCGCGAAGTCGTCCTCTCCCCTCCTCCATCCGGCACATCCCTCTCCGCCCACGCCAACGCCGCCTTCCAACAAGCCGTTGACGCCGCCATCGCGTCCAACGCCTTCCCCCAGCTCAACGGCATGCACAGCGAGCCCTTCCTCCTCGTCGGCGCCCGCGCCTTCGTCCAGGTCGAGCGCTTCGCCGCCTCCCTCTTCGGCATCGGCACCCGCGGCGCCCACCTGACGGCCTACTCCTACTCCCGCGACGGCGAGCTGCGCATCTGGGTCGCCCGCAGGAGCAAGCACCTGTACACGTACCCGGGCATGCTGGACAGCACCGTCGCCGGCGGCGTCAAGGCGACCGACTCCCCGCTGGCCTGCATCCTCGCCGAGTCCATGGAGGAGGCCTCCCTGCCGGCGTCCCTCGTCGGGCCCCTCGTCCGCCCCACGGGCGTCATCACCATGGCGAACCGCAACCCGCGCTCCGAGCTCGTCCACTCGGAGATCCTCTACACGTACGACCTGGAGCTGTCGGGCGAGGGCCAGCAGGTGCCGCGGCTGGGCGACGACGGCGAGGTGGACGAGTTTGTGCCGATGAGCTGCGACGAGGTGGTGCGCAGGATGCGGGCGGGCGAGTTCAAGACGAATGTGTGCGCCGTCATGATTGACTTCTTGATAAGGCATGGCAGGATTACGCCGGAGACGGAGCCGGATTATGTCGAGATTTGTACGCGGCTGAGGAGGACGCTGCCGGTGCCTACGAGGTCGGATGTCTGACGGGTTGCGATTGAACTGGTGAGGAGGAGGCATGGATATAACCAATCTGCTTCATAGAGCATAGAATCCGAGATGATGCATAGCAACATCAAGTTACAAGAGTCTCTCATTCGCTCAAATAGTCTTGATCTTCAACGTTTACCTAGGCACATATACACACCTATATCAAATCCCCCAAAGGCCCTCCTCACAACAACCCGCACACTTAACTAAACCCCCCAGCGAAACCACAACCAGCAATGCTCTCCGGCATCCCTCGCCATATCCTCTCCCACTCATTGCAACCGTCATCACAACGAACCAAGAACCCAAAAGTTCCCAGCCGAACAGACCAACATTCCAGACGCCGCCACGCTAGAATCCTCAACTCGAATACCCATATCCAGCCCATGTGTTAGTTGAACCTGATATACAAATGCGCCATCACAAGGCGCATCACAAGGCGCATCACAAGGCAGCATCAGTTACACACACCAACTCACACACCACCAGCCCGCATCAAACAAGCATGGTCTCAAGCGTCGTCATGTTATACAATGCATCCTACACTACATACATCTCGCGGCAGCCTCCTCCGAACCCGCCCTCTCGGCGTCTCCTCTGCTCGATGGAAATCTCAGGCCTCAAGCCAAAAATCAAAAAGGAATCAGCGCGATTCCAGCAGCAAACAACTAAAATGCGAAAAAAAAAGGCTTCCGCAAACCCTGTCGTTACCGGCCCAAACTCCCCAACGCCTCTTTTATCCACCCGGTCCGTCCATGGCCCTCGGACAATGCATCCGGCCTGCCCCTACACGCCCGCCCGCTCACTGCTGAGCAGACGGAGTCGCATCATTATCGGCCAGAAACCACGCACTTCTCGCGCGCTCTCTTCCCCTCCCCTCTCGTCTCTCTCGCTTGCTACGCTTGGTGTAGACCCTCGGTCGGTACCCAAACGAGTGGTCATGGCCAGCGCGCAGCTCTTTGTCGGTGCCGCAGAATCAGCTACGCCCCGGCAAGCCCAACGTACTTTGAGCAAAGGGCGTCTCCATTCTTTACTCTTCCTCAGAATCCGAGTCGTCGCTGGACTCGTCGTGGCGGTTGTGCGCCGGCGCATGCGAGGCGTCATCGGCAGGCTCTTGGCCGGGCTTGTACAGCTGTTGGATGGCTGTCAGCTGCGCGATGCGAGCCTCCTGCTCCTGTGCGCTCATGGGCTTGTTCTTCTTGGGCTTCGAAGCCGATTTAGGGGCCTGCTTTGCGGGAACCGCCCGATTAACTTCCGGCGATTTGGTTGTGGCGTTTGAGTCTTTACCGAATCCCGGGAGCACCTTCTTGCAGAGGTCCCATAGCTTGTTGAGCGCGTCGCTGCTAAGCTGGTCGATATCCAGTTCAAGCTCGCCCTCGTTGTTTTCCTGGTGGCATCCAGTTGCGTTAGCATCGAAGTTGACAAACAATCATGGGGTATCGTATCAATAAACTCACATTCTGGCCAGTGTCACGCTTGATAATGTCAATGGCGCGATCGAGGTGAGGGTATTCAAGGTCATTGATGGCGCTAGCAATCTGATCTTTGTCCGCCGGAGAAAGCGTCCTCTTGGGCGCGGGCTTCTTGGCGCTGCTCGACTTCTTGGGAGGCGGTGCGTGGGTCGACGACTTGCGTGAAGGGGCGCTGCCCGCCGCCTTGCTCTTGCTGGGCTTGCTCGACTTCTTGGCCGACTTGTCCTGGTGCTTGGGCTTGGCCTCGCTCTGCTTCTGCGCCACCTTGTACAGCGCCTGCTGCACCGTGTCGACAATCACCCTCTGGCAGTCAATCAGCGCCTGCGGGGTGCCCGACGCGAACATGCTGTTGAGCTTGCTGCTCTCCTCCTCCAGCTTGGCCTTGAGCTCCTGGAGCTCCTTGGAGTTGTCCACGGCGGGCGCCGCGGGCTCGTCGTCGTCGCTCTCGTCGTCGTCGTCCTCGTCACTGGCGTTGGACGCAGACGCGGCGGGCGCGTTGGACTTTGCGTACTTGGCTAGCCAGGCATCCTTGCCCTTCATCAGCTGGACGTAGAGGTTCTCCAGCTGCTTGGCCAGGTTGGACACGGGGTTGCCCTGGTCGGGCGGGCCGTTGAACTGGTAGCAGTTGGCAAAGATGAGGCGCACGTTCTTGTCAAACTCCTTGGCGTTTGTGATTTCGCCGCTGTTGACCATGCGCGATACCTTGCCCAGGTCCATGGGCTTCTTGATGATGGAGTAGTAGTCGGGGATGTTGAGGCCCTCGGCGTCGACGGCGTCGAGGAACCACGTGTTGAGCGTCGAGTTCTTGGGGTGCATGAGCTCCGCCAGCACCTCGTCGCAAAATTGCATTTCGGGCTTGAGTTTCTTGCGAGAAGGCTTAGTGGTATAATCGATATCCTTGGGCTTCGGTGCCCTTACCGTCCGTTTTGGCCTGTCGGCGTCGGCGATGGAGCCTCGACGATCCACGCTGGGCTCTGCGGCCTGCGGCTTTGCCGGCTTGGCATCGGCGACGGGGGGCGGCGGCGGCGGGCTGGATGCTGGGCCCGAGGACTGCCGCCGCACGGAGTTGTCGAGGCTGGGCATGGCGCGGTGCTCGCGCGGGGGCTTCGGCTTGGCCACAGACTTGGGCCGCGCGGGCTCCTCTTCGGGGATCGCGATGGACTCCTGCCACACATTTCGTACTGCGTAGAATGCGGCGTCCGTGACCTCGTGCTGGGCGCCGTTGAAGGTCAGGGTGTTCTCGTAGATGAGCCCCAGGTCCTTCTTCATTTCACCAAACGTAGCGTAGATGGGGTTGGGGTCGCGCAGGCCTCGGTCGATTTCAGCCAGGTCCATGGGCTTGTCGATCCTCGCCAAGTAAGACTCCCCCAGAGCCGGCCACAGCTTGGGTACCGAGTCCCGGAAGTGGCCACCGTGCTTGGTCTTCTTGACCCTGCCAATGATCTTTCGAATCTCGCGGCGCTGGAACGGCGTGATCTTCTTCTCGAGAACCGACGCGTCTTTCCACTTTGCGATGGAAGCAAGGCGATCCCCGCCACTGTCATTAGCAGAAGCAGGAGCGTCAGTAGCAGCAATCTCATTCTCAGCCGAAGGAGTCGCGGTCGCGGCGGCGCCGTCGTCCTCCTGAGTCTCCGTCTTGGCGCGCTTGGCAGCCGGTTCATCTTCCAGTTCCTCGTCTCTCTCTCTGGCAACCTTTGAGCCGGGCGCGTCAGACATGGACACCTCGATCGAGGTATCGGCAGGCGACGTGGCATCAAGAGCCAGCTTTGAGATGCTCGAAGATCCGAGATCGACATCGGATGATGGAGGAGCCGTCTCCGCAGCCTCTTCAACCTTGGGCTTGGGCTTCGCAGCGTCTTCCTCGGGCTTGACAGTGGGCTTGTCGTCGGTCATGACGGTATCCGCATCGGCATCGGCATCGGCGTCAGTTTGAATGTCCTTGGGGGAGGAGGCTTTGGCCTCCTCAGTCTTCTCCTCAGTCTTCTCCTCGGCCTTGGCCTCGGTAGATTCCTTGGGTGCAGGCTCTTTGGCAGTTGTGGGCGCAGCGGCAGTGTCGGCGGGGGCTTTCGCATCGTCTGCGCTCTCAGCGTCTGTCATCTCTACGTCTGGCTTTTCCTGCGCTGGAGCCTCGGCCTCTGTTTTCTTCTGCGCTACTGCTTCCTCGGCAGGCTTCTTCTCCTCGTCCTTGGCGCTGTCGACAGGCTTTTCCTGCGGCTTCTCCTGCGACTTTTCCTGTACGCTCTCAGCTTCGGTTGCCACAGGCGCATCAGCGGGTGGGGTATCCTTCTTCTCAGCCTCTACAGCCTTCTCCTGATCACCCTCCTGGGCCTTGTCCTTGTCTTGATCCTTGTCTTTTTCGCCCTCTCCGTTTGTGGTGCTCACGCCGTTGGGGGTGTCGGTCGATGCAGCCGGCGACGGCTTGCCGTTGACAAGTGCCTCGTCGGGCTTGTCGGACGACGCTTTGCTTTCCTTCTCAGCTTCGGGTTTCGCGCTGTTGGCCGACTCTGAGACAGGTGGCGCATGGCTAGAAGCGCGCAAACAACATCTGTGGTTAGCAATACACGCGCATATGATGCAGAGGGAGACGCGAGCAGCAAGCGATGAAGAGGAGCGTCACGAGCAAACACTCACCCGTTGACCTCGGCCGTCTTGTCCTTGTCAGCCATGGGCGGCTGGTCCGCAGTCGGCGAAGCCATCTCTGGGGTAGTCGAGGGGTTCGCGATTAAGGTGCGCGCTAGAGACAGGTGATGATCCGCAGTTGGTGAATCTAGCAAAGGAGGCGCGACATCAAACGCAGCAAGGGCGACGGCCCGCGAAGTCGAGCGATCCGGTGGCGTCGAGGGGAAGCGCAAGGCTGAAGGGTTGCGGTGCGATGGGCGGCGGGAGCTGCGGATACGGTATCACGTAGTGCGAAGCTTGAGTGAGGGAGGAAGAAGAGTAAGGTAGAGGTGATGGAGCAGAGATAAAAACAAGCTCTGTAGCGTCGCGCACTCGAGGCAGCAAAAAGCGATCGATTGGTGAGCGGAAGCTGAGCTGCACTGGCGGCGCGCAACAATGGGAAGCTTCAGTGCACGATCGGCGACTTCCCGCAGGTGACGGGATTGTGACGAAGAGCTGAGCTGAGGCTGAAGCGCAATTGCTGCAGCCTTGCGACAAACTCGATGCGACCGGGACACACGAGGCTCGAGATGCGCTGCGACGGGATGCGATGCGATGCGATGCGCGGCGGCGTGGACAAGGGCAGGATGCGGCTAGTGACGAAACCGGCTGTCGTCACGATGCAAGGAAGAGCTTCCCCCAAAATAAAACAATAGGAATATTTTTGGAGAAGAGAGAATGCGAATGCGCGATGGTTGGTCGGAATAGTCAACAAAGTACCAGCCGCGGCAAAAGGTCGGCAGAGTGCGGATGCGCGGGCTGTGGTTGGCTAGCGGGCCTCTATATTTTTCAAAGGGAATTCTTTTCAATTTTTTATTCCCTGGAAGCCTTCTCTTGCCTGTTGCGGCCGCTTGGCGATTCGTTCGCTAGTTGGTTGGGGGCGGCGTTGCTTCGGAAGACGGAAGACGGAAAAAGAAAGGGACGAGGGAGGGGGAGGGGAGGCCCTTTTTTTTTGCGAGGAAAAGCGCGTGCACGTCAGTGAGATTTCGCCGGCTGGAGGCGCGGTGGTATTTATGAGTGACGACGGGCGGCGGCGCGACGGGCGCGATGTGAGGTTAGGCGGGTTATGCCGCAGCCGGGGTTGCCGCCTTAAGGGAGCTGTGGCTGGTGGCTGGAGCCGGCGGGGGCGCTGATTGGCCGCGGCCGGGCTGATGCGCCACCCGGCGTGCTGTTGCTGCTGGGGCCACAATGCGGTGTCACGGACAGCGGAGGGAGGGAAAAAAATTGCAGGCGAGACGGGAAGGCAGACGAGGAGGGGCTGGAGGCGCTGCCGTCTATTATGGTGAGCTTGCTAGTGCCTGTACGTGTGCTCATGGCGGGACGAGACGAGGCTGGGGTCTGCTGCTGCTTCTGCTGCTGGTTGAAGCTACCTATGCATGCATCCATCGCAACTGACCGCGTTTTTGCCCATCCATCGATCCATCCCCTTGCCGTGCCTTAGCTTTCTGGTGAGGTGGCTGGGCCGTGACAAAGACTCGGTCAGTGGGAAAGGCATGTTGGGTTCCGTGGAGGATGCCTGCATGTTGTTGGGATACAGAGGGGGGAGCAGGGGAATGGGGTCAGGCTCAGCTTGGGGCATCGTGGCCTGGAAGCTGGATCTGGGCCCGTAGAACGCGGATCACCTGGAGCATCAGTGCTGAGGATTTACAATGTCGTGGGATGGACAAGAGATGTCGATGAGAGGTGATACGTTGCTTTGTGCTGTGTTTTCGCGTTGTAAAGGCCAGATGCAGAACCAAAGCAGCAAAGATGTAAGAAGACAAAGAGCTGCTCATGCCAGCCCAAAACAACGCGTACATCACCAACACTGAAGCATCAGCGAAAAGAGAGGAAAAACTGGCATGTGAGCTACACCTGCAGGACGGTATGTGCTCGCACAGGTCGACTGTGCTTTGTGCTTGTCGTGTGTAGGCCACTTCAAGGATGATGATGGAGGTGGATGGATGGATGGATGGATGCCTCTGCCTTGGAAGTTGATGACATTGCGATCCACGCGTCGCCGATAACAAAGCAAACCAAAGGCGTAGCTCAAGACCCAAGCCAGAACGACGCGCCAAAAAATTATTTTCGCGGGGCGCATGCTGCAATTGGGGGGTGTGATTGTCGCACTCGTATGCGATTACCTGGAGATGCAGTTATCCGGCAACTGCACACAGCAACAACTTAGATACTAGCTCGAGCCAGAAGTGGGAAGAAGGACAAAAATGGGGTGACCCTGTGGCGCAGTTAGCTGCTGTGGCGCCACCACGAGACAGGGAGGCTAAAAGTTGGAACTTGCGCGAGCTGCACGTTTTCAGAGCAAACGGCTTGTGAAGCCTCGAAAAAGGTACCCCAGCGCCGGAGAGCCAATGGGCTGCCGTGGGCGGGCCATTTGCGGCGATTGGCCTGGTTGACTCAGCAATCGCGCTAGACCCTCGTCAGCACAGGCAAGACAGGAAAGCCAGGCTTATCCGAACTGGTCGGAGCGGAGTCGGATTGCTCCGAGTGCACGTGAACAGGCGAATGCAAGCACAAACTGGAAGCTCACGTGATCAGCATTCAACGACAAACGGAGCATGCTTATGTCATCGCTTATCGCTATCGCTGAACCAATGCAGGTGCGGGTCCTCCATCAACAACTCACGCTAGACTCGGCCAGTCAAAAAAAAAAAAAAAAAAAAGTTCATCAGGCAGATTGTCAACAAGTTCGTGAAATTTTCCATCTTCCAGTGATAAAAGAGGTGAAGAAGATTAGCGACATTCAGCATTTCACAGTCTTCTCTGAATCTTTCCAGCCTCGTCGCCGCAACCGCAAAGGAACCCAAAGCGCAACAAGGCAGCCGCAACGTCCTCGCACCTCGAGGAAGTTGCCTTCCCTCTCCCATCACCATTAACGTCTTCAACTTCCTCTCCTCCATCCTCTCCCCTCTTCCATCCCCCATGTCGACCCCCAAGAGGAGAACCCCGGCCAAGCTGGCCACGCCGGTCGTCAAGCCGGATGCGAGGAGGACAGCCAGGAACACAATTGATGAGTCGAGAACAACCGTCGCCGGCGCCGATGCTCTGCGCAGCTCGCAGGCCGAGACGATAGAGATCTCGTCCGACCCGGACAGCGACGAGGACATGTCCGACGTCGAGGACGTGAATGGCGCGGCCGACGAGGCTGAGCAGAACCCTGAGCAGAAGCCCCTGGCCAATGGCCAGCCGAAGCAGTCCGGCAAGGACGACGAGGCCGAGTCCGACGCCGAGGAGACGTCGCCCTCGTTCGGCGAGCTGCTGCGCGGCAGCGAGGCCATCGACGTCACCGCCATGCTGCAGCAGTCGTCGGCAGACAGCAGCAACGCCGCCGCCCAGGCGTCGCGCAGCGCCATCGCCCCTCCCTCCCACCAGTCCCTCACCACCGTCCTCACCCAAGCCCTCAAGACCGACGACACAGACCTGCTCGAGTCCTGCCTGCACACGACCGACATCCACACCATCCGCAACACAATCGAGCGCATCGACAGCTCCCTGGCCGGCATCCTGCTCAACAAGGTCGCCGCCCGCCTGCACCGACGGCCCGGCCGCGCCGGCACCCTCATGACCTGGGTGCAGTGGACGCTGGTGGCTCACGGCGGTGCGTTGGCCGCGCAGCCCAAGCTCCTGCACGACCTCAACAGCCTGCAGAAGGTGCTCGCCGAGAGGGCAAAGGGGCTCAACAGCCTGCTCGCCCTCAAGGGCAAGCTGGACATTCTCGAGGGCCAGATGGAGCTGCGCCGCAGGATGCAGAGGAGCGCCGGCCTCCTCGGCGAGGGCGAGGACGCCGACGAGGAGGACGTCATCTACGTGGAGGGCGAGGAGCGCGACGCCGAGCAGAAGAACCTGGCCAACGGAGTGCGCTCGCGGAGGAGGGGAGAGACTGGCGCCGACGCCGATGACGATGAGGACGATGACGACCGCGTGCTGAACGGCTTCATCGGCGACTCAGAGGACGACGAGGAGGGCTCCGAGCAGGATGAAGAGGAGAGCGATGCGGAGGAGGACCAGCTGGACGAGGACGAGGTCGACTTTGACGACGTGGACGAGTCCATGGGCGAGGACGAGGAGAGCGATGTCGAGGTTGCGCCGCCGACCAAGATGCAGAAGGTGTCGAAGACGTCTGGAAAGAAGAAGTGAAGACGTGGAGGGATAGTGGGCGAAAGAAGTAAGAGGGATACAGAGACAGAGAGAGTGGACATGTACGTGCTGTATGTATCGAGTACAAAAAGTTTCGCGAGGCAAAACAGGAGATGCGAAGGAAGAAGAAAAGGCATAGCATTTTCCGGCATTCCGAGGTCCCTCGTTCTTTGGGCGTTTCCGGTATTTTTACTTTAATGTTTGTCAAGAGTTTCATGTAGATGTGGAATATTTCAATTGGTTTTTGTTCATTTGCTTTCATTGCGAATTCTGCCCGAGTGTTTCGGTCTTGGTGTGAATTTCTGTTCGATTATTGGTCTTGTTCTGAATTCCTGCCGTCTTTGAGTCATGGCTTTCCTATGTGTTTGATAACTTGAGAGCAAAGGGTGATAGGAAGGCTTTAGTATATCACCAGCCTCGATTTGTAAAAGCGTAGAGTTTCCATGGGCTGGAAGGGCAAGACAGAGCATGTTTTAATAGCAGAGTTCCTTACAGTCCTTACCTACATTCACCAACAGATACACACATAGACACTTTCATTCACAAATAAACAAAAGACAACCCCAAAGCCATCATATCAGTCCCTCAACGATCGATCCACATACTAGAGCATGTACGCATACAAACCACACACACTTCCAACCCATCATCTCACCACATCTCCTCTTCCTTTTCCTTTCACAGCACATTCCCGGAACAGTCAAGCAGTCCAGTCCAGTCCAGTCCAGTCCAGTTCAGACAGGCAAGGTCACAGGAGCAAAAAAAAGTCACCAAAATGGAGGCCCTCCAAAGCTCTACCATAACTCTCAACTCATCCCATTCGATTCGCTCGCTCGCTCGCTCGCTCGCTTGCTCGTCATTTATACTAATAAAGAAGATAATATCGAAACGATGAAAACACCAAAAAAGAGCAACACGATTCCCCACCGAGGTCCTTCATTTGGGGGGTGGGAGCCGCTTTTTATTTTGTTTTCGCAAAACGTGAAAGAAAACATGTCCCCTATTACGCCGATTCGCCCCATATCGCCATGCATTGGAAAAGAAACTGACAGAAAAGGATAATGAATGTAAGAGGTAGCGAGCAAAAGAAGAAAAAGCAAAAAGACATTGGTGACGAGGAAAAAAAGTGAACGGGGGCTGTGTGTCTATGGCCGTGAAAGACATGAGAATGAGCCATTAAAATCGTATAGCGGATGCGGCTGTAGTGGTAGAAAGTGTCTCGTGCAGTGTAATGTGTAATCAACAATAGCAAAAGTGTCGTGACATTTCGCTCGCTCGTCTTCAAACAATGCCATGCCGCAAAAAAGTGCGCAAGATGTAAAGCTGAAAGGATGAAGCGGGAAAGTGTATGGGCTGAGAGATGAAAGGAGAGAGGTTGTGGCATTTGATACCACAACAGCAGCACAGGGGGAAGACGGTCGATTGAGAAGAGACTTAGATGGCCCAACTGCCTCTCCTCTCGCGCACGCCCCAGGCCAGCGGATCGAGATTGTCCAAATCAGGGTGCTGCCTCGCCCACTCGGTAATGTAGGCCCGCAGCGCCGCCCATCGCGGACACCTCTCCTCCTCGGGCGCGTTCACGTCGAGCTTCATCTCGACCATGTGGCCCTTGGCCATCTGCTTCTCGTCGTCCCTGCGCAGCTCGTCAATGCCAATGTGGCTGATGCGCGACAGCTCCTCGTCAAAGCCGCGCGCCATGGCCGGGTAGCCCAGCGACAGGTAGTTGTACACCTGGGTGACGAAGTCCTCGCCAAACTCTTGCAGGATCTTCTCGTCGCGCTCGGCCTGGGCCTTTTCCCGCTGCAGCCGCTCGCCACGGCTTCTCGCGTTTCCGCCGCTACGGCTGTACCCGTTGCCAGAGTTGCCGGAGCC